TTTTGTGCATGGTGTGAGGTACAAGTCTTGTTTCATTTTTTTGCAGATGGATATTCAGTTATGCCAGCACCATTTGTTAAAGAGACTGTCTTTTCCCCAGTTAATGGACTTTGGGCTTTAGTCAAATATTAGCTGCTCGTAGGTGGATGTATTCACGCCTGGGTTCTTAATTCTGTTCCAGTAGTCTATGTATCTGTTGTTATACCAGTACCAGGCTGTTTTTACTACTGTGGCAGTATAATAGGTTCTAAAATAACGTAGCGTGAGGCCTCCCACTTTGTTCTTCTTCTTCAGTAATGCTTTATTTATCCAGGGCGTCTTCCCTTTCCATATAAAGTTGGTGATTTGTTTCTCCATCTTGTTAAACAATGCCGGTGGAATTTGGATTGGGATTACATTGTATCTGTAGGTCACTTTTAGTAGAATTGACATTTCACAATGTTGAGTCTTTGTATCCATGAGCATGGTATGTTTTTCTGCTTATGTAGGTCTCTTTTGGTTTCTAGCAGTAGTGCTTTGTAGTTTTCTTTGTATAAGTCTTTTATGTCCCTGGTTAGATTTATTCCTAAGTACTTTATCTTCTTGGGGGCTATTGTAAATGGTAATGATTTGGTGATTTCTTTTTCAAAGTTCTATTTGTTGGTGTAGAAGAATCCAACTGATTTTTGTATGTTAATCTTGTATCCTTCCATTAGTTCCAGTAGCTTTCTTCTGGATTCTTTGGGTTTTTCTGTGTATACGATCATATCATATGTGAATAGGGATGGTTTTAGCTCTTCCTTACTAATTTGGATGCTCTTTATTTCTTTTTCTTGTCTTATTGCTCTAGCTAGGACCTTCAACACAATGTTGAATAAGAAGGATGATAGAGGGCCTTAAGCCCTATTCTTTACTTTGTTGTACTTTTTTGTATTTTTTATCATGTAATTAGTTGGATGTTTGTTTTTGCCACTAGACTATTTTCATTTATTTACTCATCATTCATTCATTTAACAGGTATTTATTGCATACCTACAAAATATTAGGCACTCTTAGATACTGAAGATACAATGGTGAACAAGTTTAAGGTCCCTGCCCTCATGAACTTACATTCTATTGGAAGATGGGCAAAAAAAAAAAAAAAAACACAAATAACCAGTTTGAAAGCCGTAAGTGCTATAAGGAAAACAAAGCCAAGTAAGAGGCTAAAGACTGACGGGGCAGAAGGGAGGAGACTACTCTGTGTATTTATATAGGATGGTTAGAAAAAAACTTTTTTAAAGGGGATGATATGTGAACAAAAACCCAAATAATATAAAGGAGCTGGCCTTGGGAAGATGGGGGTAAAAAAATAAACAGTTTATGAAGAACAGTAACAGCCTTAGAGTTTTGCTTAATTAATCTGATAAGAGATTGGAGAAAGAGTCAGGGGTGGGCAGGGAGAGTGTAAAAATGGTGTAGGGGTGGTGTCTGACTTCACCAGGTCGAAGGAGAATCAAGATCAACAGCCCAAGGCTGATTCTTCTGAGGCAGAGGTCAGACATGCCTCCTCTCTCCGCCTTCTTTACCAATTGTGACACCAACCGTCCCTCCTACAGCACTCTCTATTTCTCTGCTGAGTTCAATAATTGCTACACAGAACTCTCAGACAATACTCACGATTATGAGAGTTTGTTAGGGAAGTAACAGATTACAATTCAGGTTCAGGAATGCTCAAGATACTGTCTTCCATCAGGACAGCCTCTTCCCAGTCGTGCTCCCAGACATGCCTCTCTCTGGCCCTCTGCCTCTGCTCTGCTCAGGCAAGTGTTACAAAGCCCTTTTAGCCCTGCCAATAAGTTCCTAGGGGCACCCCACTCTGCCAGTAAGCCTTGGCCCAAAGGCCTGCAGCTTTATCACTCTGTGGGCTGGTGTAAAAATGGCATGGGGGTGGTGTCTGACTTCCTCTAACTTTACAGGGGAGAAGGAGAATCAGGATCAACAGCCCAAGGCTGATTCCTATGAGGCGAATGTCAGGCATGTCTCCTCCCTCCACCATCTTTACCAATTCTCACATCAACCATCCCTCCCACAGCACTCTGTACTTCTCTACTGCGTTCAATAATCCATTGCAATAGCCACACAGAACTCACAGACAACACTCAACAATTATGGGGTGTATTAGGGAAATAACATTTACAATTCAAGCTCAGGAACACTCAGGATACAGTTCTTCCATCAGGACAGCCTCCTCCCAGCGGTGCTTGCAGACATGCCTCTCCCTGGCCCTTGGCCTCTCTCTGCCCAAAGGCATTCAGTTTTCTCTCTCTGTGGGCTGGGAATCTTACCATGCCATCTGTCTCCTGCTTCTTGGTCTCTTCCCCTGCTTCTTGCTGCCTTTAGGCTTACAGCTCTTTCTCTCTGTGTCCTAGTTCCAGGAGCTTCTCAGTGCAGGGATTCCAAGTCTAAAGGACATGCTGGCTCCTGGCTATTCTTCCTTGGTGGTGGTGGAATCTTCTCTCTGCTCTGGAATTGGCTCTCTTTTAAGGCAAAACTGACCAATCCCCTTGGTGGGCCACAATTGCCTTATTTGCACAGTCCCACCCAATCACTTGAGTGGGAGTTACAAGACCATGGCTAGAAACTAGGCCACACAAAAGTGATCCATTGCACCACAGGGCACCACCTGGCTTTTCTAGCCAGGGTTCTTTCATACTTGGAGGATAACTTCCCCCTCCCAATCATTTTACCAGTCCAAAACAGTCATTAACAATTAGTCCTTCAGTAGGGCAAAATAGTCTTAAGGGTGATGTTACTCAGATAACAGCCATTTAGGTCTGCTGCAGGTGTCTACCTGATTTGGTCAGGTTCTCCAATATTTGTCTTGTCTTCACCCTTTCTGGCCTCTGATAAAATTTAATTGAGAGAAGATTATTCCCTTGCTCTGAGCCTTAGGAAGTACCAGCATAGGAAAACCTTTAAGAGATTTTAGGTTTGGCCACTGTACTTGAGTACAGCAGTGCCTCCCCCTTAGTCCACTCTTTCACACTTACACCTTTTACAATTAGTTTTTATAATCGTAATTAACTGTTAACAATCAATACTCACAAATGAATCATATAATTCTATCAGCATCTTCCCCTACCCTCTCTCCCCTAGATACATCAGGAAAAGAGGAATCTATTCAGTGAGGATCCTCCCTTGTCCCTCTCATGTTGAGTGTAAGCACACTCATGAAAGTGAGTAAGTCAGCCACTTCATGCCTTTATCTCTCCCCATTTTTGATAGCCAATGTTTAAATTGCCTGTCCCTATCAAACCAGTACTCTGAGGAGAAAAGTATGTTCCTTGGTCTTGAAGAATTTTCTGTTCCAGTTGGAACTTTGAACATCTGCATCCATAAGCAAAGTCCAATCCAGAGCAAGCCATCAAATTGCAGCAAGCTACACCAGCTCACGGCGTCAAACATCTGTCTCTTAATTTTGTCGAGTTCTGGTCAGCTCATCCCTAGCTATCCGAGCTAGGTCACAATGGGTAGCAGTCTTAGGCTCAAGAGTTCACAGATACCTCCTGGAACTTCAGACAGCCCCTTCACACTCTCTCATCCCTAGCCCCCTTGGGCTAGGTCAACAGGTTTCACCCATAAACTTAGGAGTACACACAACTTCCTTTACTTCTGACAAGCCAGCCCTTCCTCAATCTCTTTCTCATCCTTAGCCCCTGAGGGCTGGGTCAATGCTTACCAATGAAACATGTCAATCTCTGCACTGCTGCACTGAGAGAAAAGGCTCTTAAACTAAATATTATATAATTACGACTTTAGTTTTAAGCTTGTTGAACTGTTGGCCCTTTTATGACCCTTAAATTCCTTCCTTACAAAAAACTCTCAAGTCTTAAGTCAGCAGGCCCTACTGGCTAAGTTTTAGGTCCCTTATGTGAGCCCCAATCCATGCCAGCAAAGAACAACAAAAACTGTTGAAGAGAGGATGAGAGAGTTAAGTGTGAAGCACGTCATTGCACTACACAATTTCTTAACTTTGCTTTGTGGTCTTCCTCCTTTGGAACTTCTCTGAGGTAGTTCCCATGTACACCCTAGTGCCTCCTGGAAACTCAACTCTCCTCTCTCCATAAAAAAGGAAATTAATAATTATAAAAAAGTAAAATAAAAATCTCTATCGTCCTTTCCTGTCCAGTTAAAACACCGACTCGACTCCCTTCCCAGAAGTACTTAGTCAGCAAGCTGTGTTTCTATAGTATATTTTCATTCATCTTCTTCCATTATGTATTATAGTTATTTGACTCCATCGTTATCTGACGTGAACTCCAAAACGTTGGGCACTATGTGTTGTTTAATGCTTAGCGCGGGAGGGAGGCCTGGCATTTAGAAGGCCCTCAATAAGTGAATGTATTGGAATGATTGCGTGCTGTGGGGCAGGGATAGAAACAGGAGACTGCAGCCCTTTGTCCTGAAAAGTTTACGGAAACGACAGCAGTACACTTTAACAATGGCAAAGAAGTGTTTAATGAAGAGGTGAAAATAAAACCATGCCCGGAAGACTCCACGCTCACTTCGTACTACAATCTTCAGATTCAGCAGTGGCGTCTCGGATCCCATTCCCTCTTCAATCGCAGCTCAAACCAGGCTGGATCTGACTGGCCAACCCGAGCGCAGGCTTGCGCAGTCGTGAGGATCGCTGCAGCCAATGAGAGACTTGGGCGATTTGGTGGGGTGGGACGCAACACCCACTGGCCGAATCCTGGGGTGCTTGGGGACGCGGGTGGGCGGGGCTGAAGTTTGATTGGCAGGTGAGCGATTTGCCGCCTTAGAACGGTAACACCGCAGTCTGTGCGCGCGGTAGGGGGGCCGTGGGCGGGGGCTCTGGGTTCTGTTTATGAGTCAGCCAATGGCTGACAGGTTACCCGCAGAGGGGAGGCTAGATTACCAATGGCGGCACGGATATGGCTCTGTGGGCGGGGTTTGGGGGGGGCAAAAGCCCAGTAGGAGCAGCGCCTATTGGCGTCGTCTTCCTCGCCACGCCGCCGCGCCTCCTGGATTCATTCATCGTTTTTTTCATTCACGGAGGTAGTGAGGCCTAGTCGAGAGCCATGGAGAGCGTTGTCCCGGTCGCCAGCTTCTTCTACTGGGTGGGCGCGGGCACCGTGGCCTACCTGGCCCTGCGCATCTCGTACTATCTCTTCACGGCCTTTCGGGTCTGGGGGTTGGGTAACGAGACCGGGGTCGGACCGGGGCTCGGTGAATGGGCAGGTGAGTCGGATCCAGCGCTGCCTGCTCCGCGCTGCCGCCCCTTGCGGGGCTCCGGGCCGGGCCTGGCCTGGCCTGCGCTGACCAGTTCTGGGCCCTGCGTTTCGCTTGCCCTCCTCAGCTCTCGTTCCTGAAGCTCCTGCGTCGTACCTCTGCCTCCCTTAGCCATCTTCTGGCTTGCTTAGATCTGTAGAGTTTATGTTTTTAAATACTAAAGCGAGGCAAAATGTAACTGGCTCAACTCAAAGTCTAAAGTGCCACTTTGTGCGTGCGGGGGAAATCGGGCCTTAACTCCTTGGGACTTGAGCGCTTTAAGCCATGCCGGGTTCATGGCCCGGAGTCAGTCGCCTTGCTTTCTCCTCGGTCACAATCTACCCAACTTGGTTCGCTCCTTGTGAGCGTTTTTAAAATAAAGTTTTCTCTTGCCTTAAATACTGGCTCGGTGCTAAGGCTGAAAAAACATTCTGTTTGGGGGGATGAGGATAGGGAAAGAGGTGTAGGGACATGAAATTTCAGAAGTCTTTTTGCCCTTCGAAACCTTACCTTTCCAGTCAACTTGGATTCGTTGGATTCGGCCTAGTTCATGTAATTTACAAAGCGGTTTAAAAAATCCTCGCAAAACTGTTCAGGAGTCATAATGATAGTAGCAAGAACTGTTGCTTCTGTAAAAAAAAAAAAAAGGTAACTCTGTATGTTAAAATCAGAAATAGTTTTTGCAGAAGGTACATTTGTAGAAAAAAGTATTCCTACAAAGAGTAAGCCAAGCAAATGGATCTTGTTCTATCCAGCCGGAGGGTTTCAAAAATGGAAGACAAAGATCAAATTGGAACCCTTGGAAAACTTAACCTGCAGTGAAGTTTTGCACTGGCTTTTTTTCTAACCTGTTTTTTTCTTTCCTTTTGGCTTTTTTTTTTTTTTTTTTAACCAAGTGATTGCTTATGATTTGCTGTGATCATTCTTCGTTCTTTGATCTCATTTATTTATTTTGATGTTTTATAATTAAGTGTTCACTTCACCTAGCATTTTATTGAATTTTGGGATGGTTGGGGATTGCATTCAGACTACGTTTAAGTAAAATACAAGACTAATGTTACTCTATATTCTTTACTTTGTTCATTCAAAAACATTTAAACAGTTCAGGAAAAACGTAAGTTACATTTTGGGACCATAAAAAACAAACAAAAAAAACCCAAACCCGTTGCCGTGGAGTCGATTCCGACTCATAGCGACCCCTGCAGGACAGAGTAGAACTGTCCCGTAGGGCTTCCAAGGAGCGAACTGCCGACTTTTTGGTTAGCAGCAGCTCGTAACCACTACACCACCAGGGTTTCCACATTTTGGGACAGCAACATAAATATTAAGAGAAAACATCTCAAGTAGGAATGTATTTGTACCTGAGAACTCTTCCCATGATGTGAGGCCGTTATTAACACTTTCACAATCATTTATCTTTTGATAGTCTTTGAAAAAGAAAGTGAAGGGCTCAGGTTGATTATAATATGATTTCACAATTGACTTGCTAAAATTTTTTGGTTGCCAGCTTTGGGAAACTTGTTTGTGCACTTTTGCAACAGTTACACAAGATAATAATAGGGAATCTTATAACCCAAAAACCAAACCAGTTGCCACTGAGTTGGTTCTGACTCATAGCAACCCTATAGCAGGATGGAATTTCACAATTTGCAAACAGTTGCTAATGTTAATGTAACTTGTTAATATCTAAAATTGACTGTCCCCAAAACCCACTACCATTGAGTTGATTCGGACTCAGAGTGACCTATAGGACAGAGTAGAACTGCCCCATAGCATTTCCAAGGAGCAGCTGGTGGATTTGAACTGGCGACCTTTTGGTTAGCAGCTGAGTTCTAACCCATTGTGCCATAATAAGTCCTGGTCATCTATATATGAATTCTTCATAAAAGCCAAGTGATGTGACATTGTTATTTCATAAATAAGATTTGTATTGAAAAGATTTGGCCTCAGAGTAAGGATATTTGATAAATTAAGGAAATTGTTTATATAAGATTTATAAATAAAATTTGAACTAGAACACTGTGGTAACAGAGAAAATCATGTCTTAATTAAACTGAAATATTGTCAAGTTCAAATTATGCAGGACTGCTGGAAAATCTCTTTTTAAGTGCTTAAGCAGAAGAAGTGATCAAGTTGTTATTTGTTAACATTACTCATTTTGTGGCCTGGGTCTTAAAAGAATATACTTCCTTTATCTCTAAATTCAGAGAATCTTTGAAGAACAAAGAAAAGTAAGAGTAGCTCATCTTAAACAGGTTCTCTGTATCATTTGGAGTGAACTAAATAAGTTGAAAAACTAACAGAGATGACACTTGAATAACTAGGACTGATATGGTTAACAGTAGGTAGATAATTTGTTGAACCAAAGTTATGATCTTAGAATTAATTTTTCTATATAAATAGTACTAATAAGAGCCCCCTCTTCAGAATTGCCATCTTAAAGAGCATGTCTGTGTATTCCCGTGCAACCTTGAGTAAATGCTGGTAGGAGGCAGTATTAGGGAGGCATTGCCTTCTTTCTGAAACTAAGGTTCGTTTAACATCTTCCTTTCCATAACCAATTACATTCTAAATGTTCTAATGTGTGTCGAATTGATAGCATGTTTTTTTATTCTTGTTATTCTTAAGTCTCTTCATGTGAATATGTTTAATTTCTCTGGTTCAGGTTTTAGGATTTGAGGGATAAGGTCTGCGGTACCTCATTTTTTTTTTCCCCACATTAACTGGCACATTGATCAGATATAAACTCAAATAAACTTAAAAACAAAACATTGCAAAAAACCTGAAATACAGGTGTGATTTGCAGTTACTTTATATTGTAGATCACCCTTTGCCCATACTGTAACTTATCTCCTTTACCTCCTTATCAGAGGCTAGGTCATCTCTTCTCTCTAGTTCATTGTATTAACATTCCTCATTCCAGTGAATCATGCTACTTATCACTGGGCCCCTACCAGGTGGATTTAGCCAGTCTAGTAGCTAAGACTTTTTGGGGGTGGAGCTTCAGTAGTTTGAAGGTCATTGTAGCAAGTAATCAAAATAAGATTGCTAACAGAGGTGATCAGTTTGCATTAAGTGAAGGAGAGAACAGTCGTCGCTGTGGGACATGAAAAAAAACCTATTGCTGATGAGTCGATTCCGACTCATAGCGACCATATAGGACAAAGTACAACTTCCCAGTAGGGTTTCCAAGGAGCGCCTGGTGGATCTGAACTGCCAACCTTTTGGTTAGCAGCCATAGCACTTAACCATTATGCCATCATGGTTTCCCTGGGACAATAGTGAATGTAATCTGCAGGATTTGGTTTGAGCGTAGATATAGTTTGCATTTATTTGAGCAGTTTGTATCACTGGAGTTCTTAGTAAGATGACTGATACAGGAATAAGGTGGAGATGATACAAAGGCAAGGTAAACATACTTCCAAAGTCAAGATATACTGTTGGAGCGGCGACGATTGTCGGAGCGGCAAAGACAGTAGCCAAACACAACTCTTACAGAGAAGTGGGGCCAAGGAGGGTCTCTTCGAGAAGAAGACGACCCTGGCTTCAGTCTCAGGAGTTTATTTATAGTCAATACAGCAAGCAGTGAAGCAAATCACAGAACAATGGGCTTTGGGTGAATAACAATAAGTATTGGGCAAGGGAGAATGGGTTTCAGGTAAACAAGTCAATTAGTAAAGGAACAGTAGGTTTTGGGAAAACAAGTCGTGTAGGCCTGTGGGGAGCTGCAGTTATCAAAGGTGTAGCCATGTTTAAAGGGCATATGTCCCCACAAAGTACTATAACTTTGAACACAAAACAGCACTCGGAGCACTTATTTTTAGTTTTAATGGAGAGGCTATTGCTCCAGGCAGCAAAGAATAAAGGATCTACTAATCAATTAGTGAGTTAAATTTTTTTTAACAGCTTTATTGAGGTCTAATTCACATACCATGTGATTCACCCATGTAAAGTGTACAATTCAATATTTTTATTATATTCATGGGGTTGTGCAACCATCATCACAGTCTAATTTTAGAACATTTACATCTCCTTTAAAAGAAACTTCTAACCATTAGCTATAACCCCCCCGCCCCCCGTTACCGCCAAGGGCACCGAGACCCTCCTGACTCATTGGGTCCTTGTCTTTCTCTTGTAAGAATACACAGAGACAATTTTGGGGTTCAGCTCTAGCAGGTTTATTTTACTTGTGACAAGTTAAAGGAGTCAGCAATAGCTCATGCCTCTCCAAAAGACTGACTCCAAGGGGGAAGCAAGGCTAGGGTTTATATGGGTTTGTGGAGATAACAGAGCAATGACTATTTAGCGGGTTTCTTTGAAGGGGTGGGTACTTCTCGGAATGGTGGTGCATACTAATTAGGTTGTGAGCGCATCTGGAATCCAAGATGAAACCTGCTGATACTCAAGATGGAGTCCCCTCAGCAGCCCTTGGCATCACTTACAATGGGATATGGCACAGGCGCACTGATCTTCTGCACTACTTCGCCCTCTTGGGTGGGCCAAAACAGCAGTCACACTTTGTTCTTCTGCACATGTGGAGCCTGTAAGAATGGGGAAGGGACTAGAAGAACACTAAGGAGGAAATATTAATTCATGGGTTGTTCTAACCTTATTTTATGTTGACAGGATGTGGTTCCTGTTTACCCAACTTCTAGGTGGTAACCTTTTAACAGCTCTTTTATTCCGCCAGCACAATTAACCCTATCTGTCTCTCCCCGCCCACCTGCCAGCCCTAGGAAACCACTAATCTACTTGCAGTCTCTATAGATTTACCTACTCTGGATATTTCATATAAATGGAATCAGATAATATGTGGTCTTTTGTGACTAGCTTCTGTCCCTTAGCAAAGTGTATTCAAGGTTTATGCATGTTGTATCCTATATCAGTACTTCTTTTTTTATTGCTGAATAATATTCCATTGTATAGAGTGAGTTTAGATTTTACAGAGGGCCTTCTCTTCTTCATTTGCC